AACTTGCTGAGGGTGCACTCGATCCCACTGTCTATGTCACTGATGAAGATATTAAACAGTACCCGTCCCAATACGGACCCCTGTGGGATGCCACTTGTCACCAACCTCCATCTGGAGATTGAGCCATTGACCACTACCCTCTGGATGCAACCGTCTAACCAGTTCCTCACCCACCGCACAGTCCACCCATCAAATCCATACCTCTCCAGTTTAGAGAGAAGGATGTGGTGGGGGACCGTGTCAAAGGCCTTACAGAGGTCCAGATAGATGACATCTGTAGCCCTTCCCATGTCCACTGATGTAGTCAAAAAATCCATCATAGACGGCCACTAGGTTAGTCAGGCAGGACTTGCCCTTGGTGAAGCCATGCTGGCTGTCCCGAATCACCTCCCTGTCCTCCATGTGCCTTAGCATGGCTTCCAGGAGGATCTTTCCATGATCTTCCCAGGCACAGAGGTGAGACTGACTGGCCTGTAGTTCCCCAGCTCTTCCTTTTTTCCCTTTTTAAAAATGGGGGTTACGTTTCCCCTTTTCCAGTCAGTGGGAACTTCACCGGACTGCCACAACTTCTCAAGTTGTTATTTATTTATTTATTATTTATAATTATTTATAATTACATGATTGCAAAATACTGTTTTTTATTAAAATCTCAGGTTTTACATAAGACAGGTTTAGTTTCTATCCTATAGTGTTCCATGGTAAAGTGTTTAAGATTACAAGCCCCAACTTTGGGCAGGTCTGTATACATTGCTTGTATATGTATATACTGAAACAAATGGATTTGAAGATACATGTCTCCTTTAAAATGACAATAAGTTGTAGTTTGATTTTTATGAGTATATACATCTTTCATTTATATTCCAATTGTAACTCTTAATATAGAAAGGGGAACAGTGACCTCCTGGCATGGGATCCACTCTTCAGCAGTTCTCTTGAATCTTCTTCTTCAGCTTCCTTGGCATCCTCATCCTCCTCAGGTAAAATATTTTATAGTAGGAAATGTTTTGTCTATATACTTCAGGATGTTCTGTTGTTGCTTTTTTAGTTATTGCAAGGGGACATGCTTTGACTATTGAAATGAAGGAATTTTGTAAAGCAGTATACTGTCTTATAAGTAATACACAACTGAGGGTGCACTATAGGGAGTGAGGGGGAAGAAGGAACACTAAAAACCTTAGGAAAATTCTATCTTGCTTCTGCCTTTTTTTATCACCTGCTCTCACTTTCCAAAAAAATGATCACTATCTAGAATATAATCCTGATTTTTCAACTGGTAGGGCTGGGAGATTAAATGGAGGTTGTTGCATCAACTGTGAGACAAGCTGAGCTTGCACTGTGAATAGGGATGGGTTTGTTCTTTCCAGGAAAGTCCATTGAGCTATGTAGTACAAAGGCACTGTGGAGCTTTGCTATGAGGAACTTGTTTACTGTAGGAAACCATGATTCTGTTAGGAGATGTGCGGGCATAATCCAAGGGCAGCCAGATAAAAACAGCAGGACTGAGACTAGAATTAAGGGGGGAGTTCCTGGCACCACCTGAGAGCAGGGGTATTGGGAGGAAAAGGGTGGGCTGAGGAGTATGGGAGGTGAAGGGGGAGGGCAGGTGTTGCACGGGAATTTTGGGGTACAGGTTCTGGAGGATATTAGTGTGGGCATGACACCAGCAGGCTTTCTTGAAACCTGGTCTTTGGGGAAGAGGGGGAGGAAGTCACAAAAATAATCAATATTGATTGTTACATTGAAAAGGCAATGAAGAGGAGGGAAGCAAAATAGTGTATGAGTGGGTATGTGTGTTGTAGAGGCTGAGAGCAGGAGATGTTGAGAAACTAGTTCAGAAAAAGGAAGGAGAGTCCAAAACAAAAACAGATATTATGGCTATGTTAGGACCTGCTTACTGAACGTATTTATTTAAATTTTTTATGTTGATTATCTCAGATTTAAAGCAGAATCTACTGTTTACTAACAGTAGCAGATACGCTGTTTCCATAGTTCTTTTCAGTCTACCTACTGCGTATCTATTTTCCAACCCCTGCTGTCCTTAATGTACAGACTCTTCTCCCCCCACATGCCTGAGAAAGGAAGCGTTCACTGTTTCTTTTAGCTAGGTATTCATAGTCTAAAAATTATAATAGACATCACTTCCTTGTTCCAAATCATGGCTTTCTAGCTGTTTTCCTCTGTGCTTGATCATACAGATTGAAGAACAGTAAGGGTAGAGTACATGTATCAATAGGAGAATTCTGCACAACTAGTGTTAATTCTTGTTGGCCTTAGTAATGTCCTTTTAGCAGCAACCAGCATTGCTATGTAACCCTTCGGGTTTTAAGTGGAATTTATTCTTTCACTACAAATTCGTGTTTCTTAAAAGTTACGGGTTTTAACAAATCTAGCTTACGGAAATCATTACATTGTCTCTTCCTCACTTAGGTAACTAGTCAAGATTATTAGCTAGTGGATTCAGTTTTTAACATATTTAAGGATACATTATATATAGATATATATTACTGGAATATGCTGAAAAGAAGTGGTGCTTTCTCGAAATAATCTGTTTTGCTAGATTCAGTCTGGTGTTGGAGTCTGTAGAGGAAGGCAGAGGATATTTAATTTGTTGTGCTGGTGGTTGTTACCGTATCCAGTTGTTTATTGCTCTGTCTGGATGGGAAGTTGAAGCAGGTTGGGAAATGTTCACACAGTCCCTCCTGGCAGCAGAACAGTGGAGAAAGTAGTCTCTGGCTGATGAGTAGTGACAGGTAATTGGGATCCGTAAGATCCTCTGTAGCCATATCTGGCGGGGAGTCATCTACCCAAGCCCTCATACCCGAAAGAGGCTTATGCACTGACCCCTATATTTCATTGAAATTGGTGGAATATAGTGTCCTGTGGACATAAGTCGATTTTAGATAGAAGACATCTGTGCCTTGGCAAACTTTATTTGCTGAATAATTAAAGGATTGTTGTTCTAGGAGTTAACTAAGATATTTACACTTGTGAAATGATCCGTGGAGTTAAGTAGAAAGTGAGTGTTCTAAAGTATAACAAATTACTAATACACTTGGAAAAAAAAATACACTGGATCGATGTGGGCCATATTGTTGTTGAAATCAAGTTCTGATGCTCACTAACCTGCAGCTTAGTTCTAAATACTTTAAAAAATATACAACTTTGATCTGATTGTATTTTCCTTGAAATCAGTGTTTTATCTTCAACTTGAAGGTTAATATAGGTAAGCTGATGCTTAAATCTTTTGAAAATCTTAATCCAAAACTTAAATTACATAAATTGTTTTGTATACAGCATGTCTGCATATCATGCTGTAGCATGTCCCACAGATCACTTTTTTCTTTTTACTGTTAAAACATTTCTTTAGATATTGTGTCGTAACTGTGTTAATCATTGAACACTTAAACTACCATGGTATTTGAGCAGACAGTGGTTTATGCAGCACAGAAGTAAACTTTGGTCATCCATGAATAATCCTGCTTTATTAGAAGTTTAAGCTAACTTTGTTATCTTGAACAAACACAACAGACATTTTTTAGCCAGTTATTGATATTGTAAAAATGCTTCTTTTTATTTATCTTCCTCATTTTCATCTATATATATTTTTTAAATAGTTTTGAACATTTCCACATTGCTTTTTGAATAGGATCTATAGTAATATTTTAAAGCCTTTGAATGATATTTAAAATATCTGTTAGAAAGGGAAAGCTGTGTTAAAACTCTGTTTATGGGGGCTTAGAGAATGTATTTGTTCATGGCAAAAGGACCACTGTAGAGAGGACCACCTGTACTTTTGATCTGAACTTTTAAACATGTTGCTCTCTTCTTTGACTCTGTATGTCACTCTGCTGTTGCTCATAGCTTTGCCGATCTGCAAGATGTTGAGAATTGACTAACCTTGCATTTTCTGCTTCTGTTGTCATCTGCTGCAACAGCCAAGCGCAGGGAATACTTGTGGAAAACTCCTGTTTTCCAGCAGCCTGAAAACTATAGGATGAGAGAGGATGTAAACTGGGGTGGATAACGCCTCATACATACAGTTACTCACTAGATATGGGTTGATACAGACAGAATAATATCAAACAGGATCTCATGACTGCTTGTCTTCATTCATTCACTGGACAGCCATTTATGTTGGGCCTTGCCATTACAAATGTTAAGGGTAAGAGGATAAAAATGTTTGGAAGGAACGGGATAGGATAGGTTTGATTAAATAATTTTGAAAGAAACAAAAAGCAGAAAGCTATGGAGAGGAAACAAAAATGGAGTAGGACACAAGAAGAAAAAGACAAAGATGAGAGGAAGTTAAACCACAACAGGGAGGAAGTTAGAGGAATAAGGAAAGTCATGAGAAGTAGGGCCTTAAGTGGAGAGAAACACAATAAATTACTTTTTGGCTTACTTAAAAAATGGAAAGTGACATGGTTGGCAGTATGAATGAAGTACATGTGATACGTGGCTGGGTTGGGGGTTTTTTATTTGTAAGTGGTGGGATTTTTAGCCTAGTAGAGCAGTTATTTTTCATGCTGGCTAGTAAACCTCATGCAGTGGATATTGAATACTTTTTTTGAATATTGAAATTTTTATCTTTTCAGTGTTGGTCCTAGTTTCAATTCTTCCCTTTTCCTTCAGCTACACTAAAAGAGCACAATAGGAGCTCCTCCTCATCTACCACTGATTTGCCTGGGTGTAGAGTATCTCAGTCTTTGCTTGGACACCAGACAGATTCTGGGTCTACAAGCCCATCCTCACCAGACTTTACCATTAGCACTTTGTGCAAATCTGGTGCTACAGCAGCGCCATCAGGGAGTACCAGTACTTTATCCTGTGTTTCACGGTCTCAGAGTCAGTGGATTTCCTTTGCTGATGAACTTCTTACAATTAGACACACAAGCGCAGACAAGAAGGAGCCCCAAAGATTGCATTTTAAAACTGAAAATGCCTGCCTTGCCTCTTCTGCTTTGCTTGGGAATTCTTCCAACAGCTGTGCTTCTGAGGATCAAAGTGACCTTCTCAATAATACTATATGCCATGAACAATTATTCATTGAAGAAACTGTCACTGCTGCTGAAATGTCTTCCGCATCATCTTCAGCACTACTGGACTATAGTTTAGTGTCTTCTTGTGCTCATACAAATAAGGGTATGGCAAGCATGCATTGTGTACTGCTCTTTGCTAATAACTGACCCCAAAAAGCAACATTTGGACTCATTTTTCTTTTTGTTGTTATCACTTACCTGATGTTAAAATTAACTCATCTTACTTAGAATGTACTAAACTGCTTGTTAGCACCGACTTCCTTGAAAGTTAGGACAATGAAGTAAATATTCAGTTTGAAATAAGAAGAATAATTCAAATTACTCAATTAAAGGCATTGCTTTCTCTTAACTATGCAGAGTTTTGTTTTTCTAGAAATAGGAATGTATTTTGTGGGATGTCAGACTGCAGTGAGATCTCAAAGATTAAGTGATTGAATTTGCAAAAACAATTCCATTCCTAAAAGGCTTTGTATAGATATTTTCAGATTAAATAAAGTTAAATAAATTGGATTTAAAACTGTTCCTTTTTAACACCCAGTATTTTGAAGCATGGATGATATCACGGTAATGCTACATACTAAAAGGGCAAAGGAAAAGTGTATTTGGGCAAGTGTGCCATGGCTCACTGAATACCTGTGGTACCGCAGCAGACTACTCAGTGTTTAGCATGCACTGTTGTCTTGGGGCATGATAAGAATTTTAAAGGAATGACTGATATTTTAGAAGTTAATTTATCTGGGAACATTTGAGTTTGCAACTCTTAAGGCGGATGTGGTCAGTATTAGCCTAATTTCTTTCTTCCAACATCAGTGATGAAACTCTTGTACCTAAACAACAGCAGAATTACGCTGAATGCCTGAGAAAACTCCATACTTAAAAGTTGCATTTTAAATAACATTAACTGATTAAATTAAAAAAGAACCACCCAGAATAATTTGAGGGAGATAATAGGATGTGCTGCAACAACATAGTCATATATTAGGATTTCAATCTATTTTGAAGTTAATTTTAGATCTGGCGTACTCATTGGATGGCATCTAACATTTATTTTGAAATACAGTTCTATTCGTTCTGTTCAGAAAAGTGACTTTGTAAAAGTGGCATCTTTGTACTGCTGCCACCATCTGTTAGTTGTTTCTGTTAGGTTTAGAAGGACACGGGGCCAGTATTTTTTTTAAATGCTTTTTACTTCTGATAGCTCAGCTAAGTAATAATAAGAAGTTAGTGTGTTCTTACAATCAACAGAGTAATTTATCTGTTACACTGGTGTATAGTTATTGAAGTCAATGGAATTTCAGTGGGCAAAATTTGGTCTAAACAGAGTTATGCCATTGTCAGCCAGGACCAAATATGAATTTCCACTGAATTTTCCATTTGCGGTGAGACATGAAAGACTGTCCTATATTCTGAATCCATATAGATTATACACAAAAGGAAACTTGGGTAAAAACATCTTTTTATCTACTAATCTCCAAGAGTAGGTGGTATAAAATCATTTGAGAGCAATGAGAAAGCCCATGATGCCATTTTTAGAGTCACTTTTCAGTGTATCACATGGCCCTATTTTAAAAGCATTTATGATTAGTGGTAAACCTTACAAAATGGAGCTTGTAAAATAGGAACTTTCAATAGAAACATAACTTCCAGTTATTCTATTCAAATGAGTATGTATTTATGTTCAGAGTGAGCTTTCTAATATTTATTTCCTCAAATTTGCTTTCTTTCAGCAAGGCCCACAACTCCTCTTTCTGTAGGCACCATTGTACCACCTCCAAGGCCTGCTTCAAGACCAAAGCTGTCTACTGGAAAACTTAGTGGGATTAATGAAATAGTATGTATTGATTATTATTTTTTTTTTTTTTAATTCTCCATTGTATCTTCATTTCAGATATACCGTTCATCTACGCTGTTACAGTGGAGTTACTTTCCAGCCAATGTTCAAGGAATCACATAAGCAGATTTTCACCATTGCCAGACAGGCATGGAAGTTGTTCATGATAACTATATTACTATAACAAAATAATTCTTAACAGAACTACAAAGGTCCAAAACATAATTTTTGCATCAGCTGAATGTTTTTCATTGAACAAATCAATTTGATAATTAAAGGATAGCATGTGTATGAAATTGAAGTTTTCAAAATGTAAAATACTAGTGAAGTTATTAGCAAAGCTCCATTGATTTAGGGATATCACCAAAGCTTTGGGGAATGAATGGTATTAGGTAGATCTTTGTCAGTCATGTGTTGACACAAGTAGCCCTGCTGTGACTTCTCCCTGCCCTTGGTGCTGGTTGGTGGAGAAGGGAGGTGGCAGATTGCAGCAGCTGCCCATCAGGATAGTGAGAGGTTGCACGCTGCCTGCATCTCTGCTCACTGCCTGCAGTGCAGGTCCACCTGCCGATAAGGAATGTGGCAAAGAATGCAAATACACAGACAACATATCAGACCAAGCCATGCTTAATCTCCTCTGTGAATATTAGGATTCTTTGGGTTTCACTTGACTTACTGACTTGGAAAAATGTTACCATGGTAAGATCCCTTACTGTCTTTCAAAGTAGCAAGATATTTTCACCATATTCTTGTTATGGACAAAATTCTGGTCTTATGCTTTGACAAAACTGAAACATTTTTGAACTGTTTTGCATTTCTGTAGGGTCAGAATAGGGTTTATTTTGAGATTCTTTTCTCATTCTGATATAAAATTATAGTAATTGCTCTTAGACCAAGGCATCTGTTATTCATGTCATCATAATTAGAGAGAAGAATTTAGCTGGTACTGTTCTGCTATAAAGTATGATGCTGCACAAAGCTACATTCATTTTATACAGTTGTTTTAGAAATTAGCTATTATCTGGGTACAAGTGGAAGATTGTCAATTGTCTTCATTATATATCAACTCCTTTTATGATTCCCATAGTCTGTATAAAAGCCAAATGCCCAACAAGTGTGATAGAACCAAAATAAAATAAAAAAAAAAACCAAGTTACCCACCCAAAATAGATGCTTCAGGGGTTCCAGTACCTTTTAAAGAGGTTAATCCCCAAATTATCATTAGTTAGTTTGTTACCTTAACAGTTAAGTGAATCATAAAACCATCCAGAGATTTAGGATGGAAGGGACTTTTGAAGATCCCTAGGCCAACCTCCTGTTCAAAGAAGGGCCGACTTCAAAATTGCATCAGGTTGCTCAGGGACGTGCTGAGTTTTGAAAATCTCCAGAGAGGGAGATCTTACAATCTGTTTGGGCAACCTGTCCCAGGGTTTAACCACGAGGTTACAAGGAGGAATGTTTTCCTTAAGTTCAGCTGAAATTTCCTTTGCTGTAGCTCTTCTTGCATCTGTGAGAAGAGCCTGACTCTGCCTTCTTTGTGCCCCCTTTTAGCTAGTAAAAGGCTGCTAGTAGATCCCTCCTTAGGCTTCTGTTCTCCAGGCTGAACAAACCCAGGTCCTTCAGCCTGTCCCTCTCTCTCCTGTACTCCAGTCCCAACTATTTTAGTTGCCCTCTGCTGGACTCACTTCCAGTTTGTTAGTAGCTCTGTAAATCCACATTTGCTGCCACATACACAGGGCTGTAGGCTTAAGTTCTGCTACTGTGTTATAGCACAATTATTGACAGGCTGCTACATAATCAAATATATTAGACTTAACCACCCAGGCAAAAAATTAATAATGATAATGTATGAAATAATGGAATTTATTCCAGTGGAAAATGTGGGTTCTCTGTTTTACACTGAAAGCTAGGGTAGATAAAGCATTAAAGGAACTATGTTGAGACACACTGTGAAATTGATTGGGGCATGAAGTGAAGAACTCTTCTATTTACAGTCTTTTTTTCACCTCTTTAAAACCATGTTGTGTAATACTCTTGTAATCTCTTTTGTTCAGCCTAGGCCATTCAGCCCTCCATTGACCTCTAACTCAAGTCCACCTCCTGCAGCTCCCTTGGCACGTGCAGAGAGCATTTCCTCAATATCCTCATCTGCTTCCCTCAGTGCAGCAAACACACCTACAGTTGGTAAGTTAAAGTAACCATTTTAACTTATTTTACAAATAGCATAATTCTGCCACTAGGTTCCACCTGTTAGGAAGACCATTTGTTGGAGTTAGTTGTTCCATATGTGAGTCCAGTCTAGGTACTCCAAGCATCCTTTGCAATACCTACTTCTAAATGACACTGAGAGACAGGACAGTGGATTTAATTAGGTTAGACCATAGATCCAATTATGGCATGTTCTTTAGGGAAATATTTTTCAAAATTAATATTCCAAGAATTCTTACTTGGTATGCTTGTATATCCATTCATCAAGCACAACATATTATCATGTATTTGTTCAGAAGATGTTACTCTATAGGTGCAGAAATATTTTGGGATACTGATAAATTTGAATGAATATAAATGTTCACAAAATTGAGTTCTTCTATGTTCTTTTTATTTTGTTTGTTATCCTGTAATTGAGTTTCCAAGAAAATTAAATTAATGCATCTTTTTCTTCAAGTTAGTGAAGTATATAAGCTAAACAGAGGTGTTTAGTAAAAGCAAAACAAACAACCAAACAAAAAAGATTAAGACAAAAAGCAAATTAGTCTCTATGTGTTGCCACTAATTTCAGAAGGTTTTCTCATGTTTCTAAAGGACAGTCCTTCTGTTTTGATATTTGGGTATAACAAATGCAAAGGAGACTTACTGGGGGGATGGGGGGGTGTTTGCCGTTTTTTAATAGACATTTTAACTTTTCTTTAGCAGAATTGAAGTATTTAATTCCTGAACGCTATTACCACTTTAGTCCCAAGTTAAATCAGATTCTTGAGTTAACACTCAGTTACCTGTGAATGTTACTGATGACAAGGATTCCTCACCCAGGCTCAGCAGCTCGGGAGAGCATCTGCACAGCTTCTAGTGGGAGTTCTGCACTGAAAGCAGTGCAGCTGTTTCCACCCTGTGCAGGACCAAAGCTGGTAAGGTCTTCCCAGCCTTAGCTGCTACAGTTCAGTGTCCACCAGTTTCCCAAATGCTGAGAAGCATCACAAAAAGATAACTGATATTTTGGTTGCCAAAGTCCATCTAGGCTCACATCCTCAGGCCTCAGCACTGGTGCCAAGGAACCAAAAGTTGGTGGCAGCAGCATCAATAGCCCCAGCTCTGAGTGTGTGTGTTGTTGGAGACAGTGACAGAGTGAAATCATGAGGTGAGGGAGGAGGTAAGGAGGTGTGTGCTGACACCAAGGTTTGACATGGTTATTAACCTGGCCTAGAAAAAATAAACAAGGCCAGTTTCATCTGCGCTGACTGTATGAATTAAGTAGTCCTGGAGAGCTGGGAAGGACAGTGCAAATGGCTGAATGGCTTTGGGGCATGAGGATATACTCTGCACTACTGTCTGTATTCTTTTGACTTTTGCACAATCCAGTGTTTCCCTTACCCCATTTGTTTTCAATAACGGAGAGTCGACTCTAATTATCTTTTTCCAAGCAAACTTTAAGGCATGCATAATTGAATGTTTCTTTTATGCTTTAGCCTTATTTTAATTTGCAAACTATTTTTATATATATTAATTTTTTTAACATCTATTTTTGCTTGAAATATTTTGTTTTCTTGCAACATTTTGTTTCATTTAAATGTAATAGAGGATGATCTTTTGATTGGAAATCTTCCTACAATTGAAAAGCTTTGTGAGACATCACCAGGTATTGTACTCAAAGCAGATTTACGTGTTAACTAATCATCCTAATACACTACACCTAATAAAATTGTATTTCTTTTTAAACAAGTTTCTCCAGCTATTTCTGGTATCTGGCAGAGACAAGTAGCTTGAAAGTTCAACTACTTAACAAGTTATATGTTGCTGAAATCAACAAAACTTGATATAACTGCTTTCATATAACATAACCTTCTGTCTGTCCTCCCCCCACCCCCCCAAACAAGCTGAAACTTGGTCTTGCTTCTTCGGTTTGTCATTACTACTTTCTTCCAAGTAAAGTGAATATGTTTTTACTTCGACAATCCTTATTTTTATAAGACAAGTAGGCAAAAATGTTTCTGTATTTATATATAATATAAATCTTTGAAGATACACATAATAAAAGTGGATATCTTTTTTTTTAAATAAATTTTATTTTCATGACAGCTGTTTAGCCAATATTAAAATTGTCTGAATCTTTGTTCCTAAACTGAACTAAAACCATTTGATCAGGTTTATTTATTTGTACTTTTTAAGACCAGTGATGCAGTCTTTTATTCTGCAGTTTGGCAACCTCCTTGAGTGTGTCAGTGGAACTGTTTGCATGGTTGTGTCACTAGCTCTTGTGTCAGCACAGGTCAGGGGCTGTTAATGGTGGTCGGGGCTGAGGCAGGTGGCAGGGCATCAAAGCCAGCTTTGCTGTCACTGCCGAAGGTGCCAGAACTGGAGCCTTGAGCTGGGCTGCAGCCTGAGATGCGGTGAGGCTGCCTTGGCGCAGCTCTGTGAAGTCCCATCCTTCTGAGAGCTCGCAGCAGGCGTAGAAGGCCCTGAAGCTGGATATCGCTGCATTGCATTGTATTTTCGGCAGCAAGGCAACAAAATGACGACTCCCAGAGTTAGGTTAAGCAGTTATGTTTATTTCAATTTCTTGGTTTTTAGTAGAATGCATAGATTTTTATGAATCAAAGGGTGACAAACAGTGGGGGTAGAGCAAATAAGAAAGACGCTATCTCATCTGTAGTCCCTCAAATCCATCTCAGAAAAAAGTATATACATACATATATTTGGTTTGGTGTTCCCAAAAAACAGTAGAAATAGTGTTATTATTCATAATAAATTTCACTCTTCAGTCAAGAAGTGTCTTTTACCGCTAGGAATATCATTTATGTATTTGCGTTACTCTCCATAATTTTCAAATATCAATATAAAAATATACACAAGGCCATTATAAGATTTAAAAGTAATTTATACATCTGTAAATAATCTGGCATAATTAATATAGGGTAATCACCTCCTATCTGCTCTGCAATTGTTTGTTGTTCCTTAGTAAATTGGGGGGAAAAGACAGTAAAACACGCCGGCAACCGTAGTGCCACATCCATTGAATGCATATTTTGGCTTTGGTGGAGAATACTTCTGGAGTTTAGTATTTCACCAAACAAAATTTCTGGTTGTTGTTAACTCATTATTTTCTTGCACGTTTGCTTCTTGAAATCATGATTTCTGCATTCCTGAGACTGTTGAAATCACAGCTTTTATTGGTATCTTTCAGGGAGAGAAAGAAAACTTTGGAAACATGACCCATGTATTGTCCAAAAGAATAAATAAAAACAACCTACTGTTCATATTGAAAAAATAAATAAATCAGTGTTTTGTAGCCAGGATCATAATATTTCATTCATCTAAGAGTTTTTGGTTTTGAACACTTGTGACTAGAGTATCACTTTCAATCTAAGGAGGCCTAAATGTTGCACTAAGAATTTTTTTCACGGTGCTGATAGTATTCTGAACATCTTACTACCCTAGGCAAGAAATCATGATGGAGAGTGAGGTATGAGGTAGCAGAATTAGACCAACTCCTGTCTTTTACTCTCTTGTTGTTACTACTTCTTTCACTTATAGAATCATAGAATAGTTTGGGTTGGAAGGGACCATTAAAGGTCATCTAGTCCACCCCCCCTGCCGTGGGCAGGGACATCTTCAACTAGACCAGGTTGCTCAGAGCCCCATCCAACCTGACCTCGAATGTTTCCAGGGATGGGGCATCCACCACCTCTCTGGGCAACCTGTCCCAGTGTTTCACCACCCTCAGCGTAAAACATTTCTTCCTTCTATCTAGTCTAAATCTACCCCCCTTAGTTTAAAGCCATTCCCCCTTGTCCTGTCGCAACAGGCCCTGCTAAAAAGTTTGCCGCCATCTTTTTTATAAGCCCCCTTTAAGTACTGGAAGGCTGCAATAAGGTCTCCCCAAAGCCTTCTCTTCCCTAGGCTGAACAACCCCAACTCTCTCAGCCTTTCTTCAGAGGAGAGGTGTTCCATCCCCCGATAATTTTTGTGACCCTCCTCTAGACCCGCTCCAACAGGTCCGTGTCTTTCTTATGCTGAGGGCTCCAGAGCTGGATGCAGTACTGCAGGTGGGGTCTCCCCAGAGCAGAGGAGAGGGGCAGAATCCCCTCCCTCGACCTGCTGGCCACGCTTCTTTGGATGCAGCCCAGGACACGGTTGGCCTTCTGGGCTGCGAGCGCCCATTGCTGGCTCATGTCCAGCTTTTCATCCACCAGTACCCCCAAGTCCTTCTCGGCAGGGCTGCTCTCAATCCCTTCACCCCCCAGCCTGTATTGATACCAGGGGTTGCCCCGACCCAGGTGCAGGACCTTGCACTTGGCCTTGTTAAACCTCATGAGGTTCACACGGGCCCACTTCTCCAGCTTGTCCAGGTCCCTCTGGATGGCATCCCGTCCCTCTGGAGTGTCGACCGCACCACTCAGCTTGGTGTCATCTGCAAACTTGCTGAGGGTGCACTCGATCCCACTGTCTATGTCACTGATGAAGATATTAAACAGTACCCATCCCAATACGGACCCCTGTGGGATGCCACTTGTCACCAATCTCCATCTGGAGATTGAGCCATTGACCACCACCCTCTGGATGCGACCATCTAACCAATTCCTCACCCATTTATCTCTGAATGTAATTAATTATTCTGTGAAGAGCAAGGTCTCAACTTCCTTTTTGCTTCTGAAAGAGCTCAGAAGGCACAGCCACTGTCTTAGAATAATTAGGATTAGTTTGCCATGAGCAATATTATACAGAAGCATTTTGTTTCTACTTTATGATATGAAAGAAAATTTTCTCATTTTGCTCATGAAATGAGAAAGATTGTGCCTCCTTTGTGATAGATACTACTATGTGATACAGGCCATTTCATCAGTGATACAAAAAATCAGTAAGATGCTCCCCACTATGCTGCTGCACTAATAAAAAGACAGAACCTCCAGTATTGTCTTTTATATTCAGTACACATATAAAAAATTGGTGAAAAGTAAAATCCCGTGACAACTGGTTTCGTCAATTGTACACATGCATTTCAGAAAGCTTTACCATGAGGTCTGAGTTGATTTTTTACAGCTTTGCATTGGAACTGTGTTGTGTTGGCACAGGCATCTGTGAAGGCTTCTCCAATAATTTCTGCTTGGGAATTGTAATATTTGTTGGCTGAAATAGTTAAAAGAATGTTCAACAGTTCAGTTATGTGGGGTAATATTAACGTATTTGCATTTAAGTTGATGCATACTGTAAGTGAATTCTTTGCATTTCCATGACAACTTTATCATACATTTTTTCATACAATAAGCATACGGTAGGGATTTTTTTTAAAGCATTCTAGTCAATGTCTAATTTCCTTTGGATCTGTTGACTTCATCAGTAGCCATTTTAATGCAGTGTTCCTCTGTCGCATATGTATTTCCTTGTGCCTGTCCATTTACATAATGTCATACTGATAGTCCTGTTTTCTTAGGCTGCTAAGCAGTGTTTTGATGGTGTGATCGTACTGTACTATGTTCATATTTTTCTACACACTTTTCAAGTAATACTTCAGACACTACTGTGACCTTGATTGTGGTAACCTCTTGTGAAAATGACAGATGTAGTCAACCGTTCTGAAATCTATTGCTAAGCTTTTTGAAAATTAAACCTATACACTGTATGTATTCTAGGTGTTTCACGTGGCCCCAGCCCTGTCAGCCTTGGAAACCAGGACACCTTGCCTGTTGCAGTAGCCCTTACTGAATCTGTTAACGCCTACTTTAAAGGAGCAGATCCCACGAAGTTAGTTAAATAGTGAATTGTTTTGAATGTAATAAGTTACAATAAGAAAACACACTGGATTTACTTTTAATATTTTGGGGGAAAATGTATGTACGTTAGAAGGGGGATTCAAAGGGGTTTTTTTCCCTGGTATAAGTGACGATAGTGGCTCATTGCTCTGTATTGGCCTGCATCCCACTAGGAGTTCATATATCCACACTTTACAAAAATGTGTTCAATGAGAACACTGAAAATGAGAAGGTTTTTTGTCATAGTCAGGTAGGTGCTGCATGTAAATTTGGGCATCTAAAAGCACCTCATTCCCTCTGTCACATCTCTTGCTATGCTACTTAGGCCTTGCCTAAGCATAGTTGTGCCATGTTTTCAAAGCCTGAAAAATATCCACCAAGACTACTGTATGCTTAACCAGCTAAACTTTTTTCTATACTTATTTCATCTGACTTCCAAGCTGAAAGTGATAGTACATTGTCACAGTGCCGCATTACCCTCATTTGAAATTGATTTTCTGTTTTTAATTCAGTTCATCAGATTGTGAAAGTACAGTGATTGCTTTAAAAGTAGTATTAAAACTAGGCAGTTAATGAGTTGCAATGAAACTGATGTTTTCATTCTCTTCTAGATGTATTGTGAAGATTACTGGTGATATGACAGTATCGTTCCCAAGTGGGATTATTAAAGTCTTCACCAGCAACCCATCTCCAGCTGTGCTCTGCTTCAGGGTAAAAAACACAAGCAAACTAGAGCAGATTCTTCCAAATGCACAACTTGTATACAGGTTTTGTATTTTTTTTAATATAATAGTAAACTACATGATTTGTAAAATGTGAGTTGTGTATGTAAATCAGAATTATCTACAGTGTTGTTGATTTGCTTATACATAATTTAATTTTGTGAATTAATCTTGTTCAGGTCAGCTCTCTCCACTGTCACTATTAAAAATCTCAGTGATTACTGGACTTGAAACTTGTGCTGAGTATAACAGGAGCCTGTAAAAACAGGCTGTGTTTTTACGTGCATTTTATAAATTATTTCTTTATACAGTAGTAACAATGGTAAGATTAAAATGATGAAACAGTAGCCTTAAATGGAACACAATTAGTAGGAGCTACATCTAATCTCATTTGTCACTTACTAGTGTATTTTTAAGCTGTATCATTTCTACGGTAGATCAGATCCATTACATAACTGTATCTCTCAGGTGTGTAGCAGCATGCTTGGGAGAATTCTTAAGAAAAAAGGCTGCTGATTGAGGAGGATAATTATTGAAATCACAGCACTTGGAGATCTTTAAAAAGAAAAAAATTATAAAAGCTGTAAATATTTAGCAGAGATCTGTTTCAGCTGAGCAGTTTCTATTTCATTTATTGGAGAAATTATTTGAAAACAAGTTAAATGCTTTTAGATGCTACATTTTTTACATTACTGAAATAAAGAATCAAACCATATGCATCCATTCTTTTGTATTTAATTTCATTTTGATCATTCATACTTGATGTAATGATTCATACAAAATTAAATTTAATCATTTTTTGACATGACAGTTTATAACTGAAATGCTAGCAGAGCTGTGTCTGACAGCATGAATTATACTGAAAAAGTATATTTTGCAAAAAAGTGAAAGTGTCAAGTATTCTCATCGGAGTGCTGTAACACTTCACCTCTAATTAGAAAGGATGCATGTAATGGATATTTACGAAGTTAAACCTGTATGGTAATAATTTGACTTTTCATCATATACTGCAAAGGGTATCATTTGCTTGGTATTTATAGAGATTAAAGTTTTTAATGAGAGATATTTGTGGTGATGTCAGAATTTCTGATTTGAATTGCACTTGGTTGTGGAGCAGCAGAAAGATTTTATTACTTGTTTCATTTGTTTAAATTGCGGAAGGCCTCTGTGGTGATAAGTAAGTGTTTATCTATATGTTTTACTGAAAATGGAAATTTCATGACTCACAACGGTGTATTGAGAACCAAATTCTAAGTAAATTGGACAGACTACTGGTACGCAAGTCACTGTTCTAGGACATTCAACCCACTGTGGTCATATTTACTGTGTTCCAGGTGCTCATTGTCAGCTTTCACTCTGCGGGCACACTCTGTATTCCTCCTTAGGGATGGATGCAGTTCCTCACTGTATCCACAGACATTAAGTGATTTGAATTTTGGTTTTGAATCACTTTTCTTAAAAGCTTCATCCTTATTCAAAATAAACCTGATGCAACCAGAGCTGAAAATATCCTTGATCTGCAGAACACCATTCTCTAGTAGCTCCCAAACAGAATTTTGCTTCTGCAGTCATGTGTGCTCTTACCTACATATAGAAGTGATATAATAAACTGTTACTAAGACTGAATTGCAACTATAAGTATCTGAGAAAATTATTTGTAATAATTTGAAAAGCACTTTTAATTGAAAACATGTTGAAAGCTTACACTATAAATACATGAAAATACAGTAACACATACAGCACCAATCTTAATTCAGTGCATTAGTAAAGCTGCGTCATAACCAAAGCTAATTATGATTTTAGGATTTATTCCAAATTGGATAACATTCCTTTTCAAATGCCACTTTCATCCCCACCTCCCACACATCCTCACAGCACCTAATTGCATTAAAATTGTGCAAAAATTTTACATTTATTAAATGTAAAATCCAAATTCAGCATTAACTCCCATCTTGTGATGCAGATCATCAGTGGAGGAAACTCACTGCTCCACAACCTAAAAGGAGATTTTTTGCCAGATGCAACGAGCAGTTGTTTGTCTTAATATTTAGGAAGGTACAATTATGTGTTATAAAGCATTAGAACAAATTCTTGCTTGAAATAGTGAAGAAGGGGAAAGATCTAATCTTTATTTTTAGACATCCAAAATAATAAAACTCAGTGTTGCCTTCTGACTCCTACCTTTCTTTTTCTTTCTAGTGATCAGTCACAAAGTGACTCCAGTACTAAGGATTTTTGGATGAACATGCAAGCTATAACTGTCTACCTCAAGAAATTATCAGAGCAGAATCCATCTGCATCCTATTACAATGTGGATGTTTTAAAGTATCAGGTAAACACTTATTTTTCCTTTTGGAATTTTTTAAGTGACTCTGGCAGATTTGATATCTACACAGAAATTAAAAGAATTGTTCTTTGCCTGCTAGCATGCAGATGAACTGTCATCCCTCATCTAGACCAATTCTGGATATGTCACTGTTCACAATGCATAGGCTCTGCCCAGGCTTAGTGCGCGCCTACTATGCTTCATGTCATTCCCTTGGATTCATGACCTGTTTCAGCTTGCTCACACTTCACTCTAATTCGTGTGTGCAAGCTTCAAACACTGCTTCTTTAGGTATTTGATAGCAAAGCCAAATTTTCCTTGAATTTAGGGGTTTTGGTGGGGGTTTGTTTGAGTTTGTAGTTCTACTGTCTTTGATTTTGTAATTGCATAAGTTTGGGATGCTGTAGCTGATGAATTGTAATATATGAGAACGTATGAAGTTCTCACATCTCACAATATAATGGAACGTCTCATCCTGGAAACCATTTACAGGCACACAGAGGACAAGAAGGTCATGAGGAGTAGTCAGCATGGATTTACCAATGGAAAGTCATGCTTGACCAACCTGATAAACTTCTGTGATGAAATGACTGGCCTGGTGGATGGGGGGAGACCTTACCAATGTATACAAAGACCTGAAGGGAGGGTGCAAAGAAGACAGAGCCAGGCTGTTTCCAGTGGTGCCCAGTGACAGGACCAGAGGCAATGGGCACAAACTGAAACACAGGAGGTTCCCTCTCAACATCAGGAAACACTGTTTTCCTGAGAGGGTGGCTGAGCAGTGGAACAGGTTGCCCAGAGAGGTTGTGGAGTCTCCATCCTTGGAGATATTCAAAAGCCATCTGGAGGTGGTCCTGGGCAGCTGGCTGTAGGTGGCCCTGCTTGAGCAGAGGAGTTGGACCAGATGATCTCCAGAGGTCCCTTCCAACTCAACTATTCTGTGAATCTGTGGAAGATGTTCTGGCTGTCAATAAAAAAATCTTCATGAAAATTCAAGACAGACAGACTCACCTCAAAGGGAGAACAGGGATTTGCTAGGCCTGCATTGAAATGGTTGAACATCTGAGACAACTGTCTACATCAAAAAAACAAAACAACCTGTCAGTCCAGCTATTAATACCATTGTAGTTTCCACATCCTCCCAATATAGTTTAAAATCTTGGCATGCTGAATCTGTAAAAAGCATGTTAGGTACACAGAATTCCTGAGAAAGATGGAAGGAACAAAACATCTCTTTGGATTGCAGAAATGAGTACTGTGGAAGAATGATAATCTATTTAAGATCTTTACTGTTGGGGAAAAATGAGGCATAGGCATGCGGAAGCCCTGGCAGATAGAAAACGTTCTGGGCTGCCAGGGAAAGGCAAGAGGGGATGCCAGGACATAGAAGGTTCCTCAAGTAGACTAGGAAGGTGGTAGAGATGCAGCAGGGCAGCAGCACAAGCTCAGCTATAGAAACAGCAGCATCCAGCCCTCCTGCAGCAGGAAAATAATGCTTTGAATATGTAAGAACTGTTTTTCTGGCTGCCTGTCCCATAATGACAGGTATTCACTTCATCACTGAGGATGAAGTCATTTTGCCACAAGCATGCTTCTTGTGTGAGGCAGAACACAAGACTAAAGCAAAACTATTTTGACTTATGAAAGCCAGAACAGGAAGAAGCCTCGTAGGCCAGAGAGAGTTTAAAGCTTTTCTTTAGTTATTTTAATTTAAAATTAAAAGAACGGAAATTGCTTTAGGCTGCAACAGTCTTCAGAATTCTGCAATTAAGGACTCAGAGTTCAATTGTTCTCTTGATCTTTTGTCAGAATTTATATTCATTACCATCATTCCCTAATTCTGCCCCAAAGGGGAATATTTTGATTAAGCCACTTTCAATGATTTATTCATTTACAGGTATCTTCAAATGGCATCCAGTCCACTCCCTTGAATCTTGCAACTTACTGGAAATGTAATGCTAGCACTACTGATGTGAGAGTGGACTATAAGTACAATCCAGAGTCTATGAATGTGCCTAGTATGCTGTCTAATGTCCAGGTTGTGGTACCAGTAGATGGAGGAGTAACAAACATGCAGTCGCTTCCACCTGCAAAATGGTAATATTAATGCTTTTCTTTTTATTATTTCAGATTCATGTCAGTGTATTCATTAGTGTCATAGACAGTCTGAAAAATTTCACTGAAAGAAACAGCTATTTTTTTTTATCTTGATAAAATGCATAGTATCAGAAGTTTAGGACATTTTCTGGTCTGAAACAGATCATGTGCAGCTAATCCACATAAACTAAAATGAGACAATATGCACCCGCTCCAACTGTGTGATAATACAAGCCTTTATGAAATATCCAATGTTTGCTTTCTTTTGGCCAATAGGCAGGCTAGACATTTTTGATACAGTAATTTGAAAACGAAATATCTTAATGGTTAAAAAACATTTTGTGTGTGTATAAATATATCCATATATATGGATTATATAGAGAGTAGAAGAAATGCAGTTCTTAAAAAAACTTTTTGATTGTTCTAGCTTAAAAATTAGCTTCTAATTGAAATGGTTTTAAAACAAACCTCAGTAACTGAGGAGCTCTTCATAAGCCAGGAAGCATTGTTTCTCACTTCAAGCATCAAGCAGATTATTATCTGACTAACAGCTACCTGCCACCACCTTCTAAGCCTGCATTTACAGTAGCACTTGAAAGTGAGACACAGATCTTAGGTAATTATGTTTCTACAAGTTTGTGAAAACAAGCAGAGGGTAGTGGGACTAGGCAGAGCAGTACATCGCTGGAGCAAAAGGTGAGCAGAATTCAACCACCACAACCAACTATGTGCTGGGCAGCACAGAGGTACTTGCCCAGCTGTAATGTAATTCCTGGACTGTTTATTTCCAAGAGAGTCTTTTTAATGTGAAGAGGGCAAAGAATACCAAGTTGAAGGAAGTCAGACTTTGTTAACCTTGTTACTTATAGATCAGTTTAACTTATAAAGCAAGGTTCAGAAGATAAATAAACCTGATGCATTTATCACATAGGTTCTGATGTTTCTGGAGGCAATACATTTAAACGTGTTAATTGGACAAAGTAGTAATACAGTATCATTTTGAGTAGAAAAAATCCTGGCAAGTCTGAATCTTTCTTGACCTGGTATTTCAAGGGAACAATACTTTTAACCAAGTCACCTTAAACTTATTCTGAGCAAGGGCATGTTCAGTATTATGCCTGAACAACATGACTAGAACGTCCGGTGAAGCCAGTCTCCGGGCCCAGGCTTCTTCCACAAACCCCTATGTAATGAAGCCTGAGAGCAGGAACACCCACCCCGAACACCTAGTGTTAGCTAGGAAGACTCAAATCTTAGTGACAGTTGCATTACAGATTCATCAGATTAAGGCAGATGAGCCCAGATTCTCTCTCTTTCACCCAGGCAACTACCCAAGGCCAGAATTTTGAGCCTGGAAAGCTGAAAAAAAAACCAAAAGAAAACCAGTCATGTCCCAGGCAGCTCTGGTATTTGTGTTGTGCTACCTGCTTGGTCTAGTGGATTGGGTGGTGGATTTTTGTTTTTTTAAAAATAAATGTTTTATAACTTGACCTCCTGCAAGTAACCGCTACTATCTGTGCTACATGTGTAAGCATTTCACTCCTGCTACACCAATGCCAAAAGCAATTTCAAACCTCTCAGCACTTCATGCTGCTTACAGCTTTAAGTTGTTGACTTTCCTGTGGTGGAACTGCTGCAAGGTGCTCTAGGAGTTAAAATGCCCTGTCAGCTTAGAGACAGGGTGCTTGGTGCCCTTTTCTGCCTCTTTACAGCCTCAGAAGTTAGCTTATGCCCCTGTCACTTAACACCAGCTAGTTTTACTAGAATGGAAATGGAATAAAATTCATGCTCCCGGGAGTCTCACATAGGGGAGAACAATCAACATTGCTCCTCCTCATACCATCATCATGAAGCATAAAGACGTAGCTTTCAAACTGCTTCCAGGGTGTTTGGCCTGTCCTTACCCTTTGAGACCACAAAGGGTTTCGAGTTGTGGAGGCATAGCCGGGGCATAGGACAGTGTTACCTGTATAAAAAGATTGTGTGCGTACTTCTGAGCTCTGCTGCTCTGGGGCAATGCAGACACACCCTTCTCTTTTCCTGTTTGCTTTGTATAGTTTTCCACAAACTTACCTTAAAATGATCGAGTGTTTTTATAAATCTCCATTTAGAGATGTCTGTAACATACTGGTGTAAATCTAAGGAAATAATACGCAAAAAATGGTACTTATAACTAACCTACCATTCTCTTACAGGAATGCAGACCAGATGAAAGCATATTGGAAAATATCTAGCATTTCGGAGAAGTCTGAGAATGGAGGCAAGTTGCACTCTTTTGTTTTGTTGTACAGAAAATTATAACAGTAAAAAGGTAATAATTTTAGCCTCTACTCCCTCATGCCTGTTTACACATCTTCTCGTGCTGTATCCTGTTTACGAGTTCACCTTCTTCTCAATTAACTTCCTCCTGATCCCATTAACAGTGAGATGACAAAATATAAATTTATTAGTTAGCGATAAAAGGAAAAACAGTGAAGCCCCCTGAAAGCAGTTAGTAGCTCTAAAATAGAGTTTAGACTGGGTAGGAAATTATTACATCAATGCTATTTGGAAATGAGCAGTTATTCAAAGGAAAATATGTTTAATATCTGTGTCTTTCCACGCACTGACAATTGAAATAAAGGAGAAAAAGGTAAGTGGAAGAATTGGGGGGAAGAAAAAAAAATGAAGATCCAAAAGTCCTGTGCTGAGATAGACTCAACAATAGATGACCAACATTTTGAGGGTCTTTGTTTGACCATATACAACTCCAGGGAAAAAATGAATTTATGCACATCTGCTCAGAGTGGTAATTTATATAAGGTACCAATAGTTGTCCTCTGCCCAGCTGCTTTTTCCAGTTGATGTCAGCCCTTGCAGCCTCTGCAGGTGCAATGTTTTTCTGAAGCAGGAAAACAGGAGCCAAAGAGACGCATCTCATCCTCAAAGCCTCTGTGGAGAAATGAACTCGTGGCATAAAGGCAACGCCTTTAGCCCTGTTAAGACTTTAGTGAAGGGCATTATGAAAGCACAGATTTGCTTGTAAATACGACTGGTTTCATATAGAAACCACATGCCTGGAAAGGGAAGACCTGTTCTATTCCTGCAAAGGCTGCAAAATTGTGGTCATTCAAACAAAACCAGAGTTCTGTCTGACAGAGGTTGTTGCTGTAGTGTGGTGTACTTTGTCATTCACTGACCTCACAGTTCTTTGCCATCTGTCTTCCATTATGATTACGTAGGGATAGCCCTCTCTCCTTTTTTTTTGCCTTTTCCAAACTGTGGAGCTTCTTTTAAAAGGCAAAAATCATACTAAAGCACAAATGCAGCCAGATAAAGAGCTACTGTACCCCTGCAGAGCAGCATAAAATGGGCTGCCAGTGATGCAGATTACATCTTGTGTGTGGTCAGTAGACTTGCACATATCCCGCTGCTGCTGTATTCCCTTCTCTTCCCACCATCTTTCTTCCCCTTCTCTTTGAGTATAAACACATAGTACTCACAATTCAGTGTTTAAGAGGAAATAATACTATGCTGGTCTTACACTTACAGAAACAAAGGGAGAAATTGCACAAACACTGTTAATATTAGGACAAATGTCTTCAAGTCTTTTTTTATTCTGGTGTACAGGATGGTAAAATGGGTTTTTTTAATGGTCCAACACATTGTGTGAGCTGTCAATTGCAGACAGAGATAAAACACAGAACAAACTTTCAAAGCACTTGAATATATGAGTTTCCATACTTACCGTGGAAACGCCTTTAGCCCTGTTAAGACTTCAGTGAAGGGCATTATGAAAGCACAGATTTGCTTGTAAATACGACTGGTTTCATATAGAAACCACATGCCTGGAAAGGGAAGACCTGTTCTATTCCTGCAAAGGCTGCAAAATTGTGGTCATTCAAACAAAACCAGAGTTCTGTCTGACAGAGGTTGTTGCTGTAGTGTGGTGTACTTTGTCATTCACTGACCTCACAGTTCTTTGCCATCTGTCTTCCATTATGATTGATTACGTAGGGATAGCCCTCTCTCCTTTTTTTTTGCCTTTTCCAAACTGTGGAGCTTCTTTTAAAAGGCAAAAATCATACTAAAGCACAAATGCAGCCAGATAAAGAGCTACTGTACCCCTGCAGAGCAGCATAAAATGGGCTGCCAGTGATGCAGATTACATCTTGTGTGTGGTCAGTAGACTTGCACATATCCCGCTGCTGCTGTATTCCCTTCTCTTCCCACCATCTTTCTTCCCCTTCTCTTTGAGTATAAACACATAGTACTCACAATTCAGTGTTTAAGAGGAAATAATACTATGCTGGTCTTACACTTACAGAAACAAAGGGAGAAATTGCACAAACACTGTTAGTATTAGGACAAATGTCTTCAAGTCTTTTTTTATTCTGGTGTACAGGATGGTAAAATGGGTTTTTTTAATGGTCCAACACATTGTGTGAGCTGTCAATTGCAGACAGAGATAAAACACAGAACAAACTTTCAAAGCACTTGAATATATGAGTTTCCATACTTACCGTGGAAAGAAGTTCCAATTTACCCAAACTATGACAGACACACTGAAGAATTGAAATGGATCTTAAGTCAAATTTATCAAGAACGAGCCATTGCCTGAAACAATTTCATTCATTAATTCCCGCTTTTACCCCAGTAACATATCAGTTACTAACTCTCCTTGCCATTTAGCAGTTCCCATTGACTAAGAATAGCAAGTTGGTTTAAAGAAGTAAAAATACTTGACTTTCATTATTCCACTATTAATTATTTAAATCTCATTTTTCCCAGCATATTTTGCAAGAACAAGAAAAGACTTGTTTAAGAACTAGAAAAAGAGACTAGTAACAATGTGGTGGGGTTTTTTAAATGCTTTGCATTGACTACAGAAATGTACTTAAAGTAATTTTGAACTATTACTGCTTTATAATAGCATCAAAGTGATGGCACTTCACCACTGTCTCTGAAAAACCAACTGAAATTTGTGGGGAAAAGTATTTAATCAGACCTCGTCTTTATTAGAAAAATAAGAATTTCTTTCCTCTGGGTACATTACTGTATAGCTACATTTCTTCCAATGGTTTTATTCATATACATTCACCCAGACAGATCCTGACAACATTTAAATATTCTGATGTACTTTCAAATCTGCTAATGAAAAGTGCTACATACGAGATAGGTGGTATTAAGTACTTACAGACCAGCAAGCATAAATTATGATTATAGGGACCAATCAGATATTTCAAGTAATAAGAGATTACCAGGCTGTCTGATACACACATTCTGTATAATCTTGCAGAAATGTGTATCATTTCTCTTCAAATCATTCACTAGTCATTTTCCAGTACTCCGTTTAAGACAAGAGAGACTTGTACTGTCATCTCTTTTGAAAATTGATGTAGGACTGCTGCTAGGAGTAGATCTCAAAGGTCACCATGCTAGTTTCACTTCTTACTACTAAAAATTTTGGGAGATCATCTTGTTCTTGCAAAACAACCAGCTTTTCAGTTTTGTTATTTTTATAGGTTCTGGATCCCTCAGGGCAAAATTTGAACTTTCAGAAGGACCCAGTAAACCAGCAACACTCGCAGTGCAATTCATTAGTGAAGGAAGTACCCTTTCAGGAGTAGATGTGGAGCTCGTAGGCACTGGCTATCGGCTTTCCCTCCTTAAGAAGAGATTTGCCACTGGTAAGGCACTGACATACTTACATATTCAAATTAATATTATATATTCTATAGTGTTAAATTATAAAACAGGAAACTGTTAAATAAGTGATGCATAAATAATTACTTTTCATTAAAACATGGCTGAAAACTGTTTCACAGGTTTTTTGTTTTTCCATAGTTACTCAAACTGACAAAACCTGTTTTATCTACTGACTGCAAAAAACCTACCTTTATTTTTCAGGACGGTATATGGCAGACTGCTGATGTACCTGTGAAAGTCATTGGATCAAAGGAGTGCAAGAAGTTCACTCTGCCCTCTCTACTTTTCAAACACTATTTTAACATGCATTAATTTTTTCAAAATCTTGACCTACTTTGAAGCTGAACTACAGAACAGAAAATGCACTTTTTTAAGTCATTTTGCAAACTTTTTATCACTTTATAATAGCACTGAAGTTAACTTCAACACTGTCTGTAAATGATCAACTGCAATATTTGGGAAAATTTGTTGAAATTTTAGTGAATTTATATAGAAGTCAAAATAGTAATCCATAGTTGCAATGAAAGTATGAAATTGTATGTTATACTGTAAACATTAAACCTAAAAATGTAGGAGAGCGAGTAAGGAATATTTGAGCTTTCCATAAGTAATATTCATTTTTCAGATTCTTTAATTGCCAGTTTTTAAAGAAAGCAGAGGCAAAGTCTCACGTAGTTCTATCCACTCATGCCACAAAACCAGCTGAGTTAGAGATGTATAAAAGCAATGTAACTTGATGCCCGTGTATCATATATTATTAACATGTAAGTTGTTTTACATAGGCGTTTTTTCCTAAGTGCAATGTGTTACAAAATTGAAAAAGACAGCAGAGATTTACTTCTGCAGTTAGTAAATTTTATGGGCGTTGTGATTGTTTGAATTAATGCTGTAGATTTAATTTATTTTTATATGAATTGCATAACATTTGTGCCTTTAAAAAAAGCCTGTGCCTATCCAATTTATTATTCACGTGCCTCACTTCCTTTTTCAAAGTTTGACTCTTCATCAAGAAAGCACGGTGTTTGTATCATACACACAACTTTTATAAAAATTCCTTTGACTGGGATTTATTTAGAAGGCAGATTTGCAAAAACTGGATATTGTTTTAAAAGAGGTTTAAAATACTGGATTACTTCCTTATGGGGTAATTGCAATAAATGAGGCTGTAGTAAAGGGAGATGCATCATGCAGGACTTTTGAGATAGTAACTTTAATGTCACCAAAGATGAGAATCCTGAAAAACCACCGAAGATGGTAAAGTAAACTTTTAAAAGCAAACAGCATTTCCCTTCACTTTGACTGCAAGTCTTCAGACTTTGAGTGCTTTTGGGGTTGTGTGATGTGAATGTAAACATAGTACTTTGGGAGGAATAGCATTTTAGAAGGGTATTTTATGGCAGCAGGATATGTACTGCCATTTCTATTAATTTTTTTCTATAACCACCAATTTTAATATTTGTATTGTCATCTAATCTGCTTGCCACAGCCTAAGCACAGGGAAGTGACACAATAGTAATGTTCTTCAAAAGCAAATCACTAATTTAGAAAATATTCTATGTATTTGTATTATCAAGTGTTTTTTCAATGCCAAAATCAAAAGTATTGGGGCAAAATAATTCAATAGCCTGCACGTGGGAACTTCATATGACCATTTTGACTACTAATATCTCTTTCAAATTCTCTATTAAAACAATAAAACATGCTTGAACTAATTCATGCAAAACCAGTAATGAATTGACTGCTGAAGCTTTACAAGAAATTTAAGCTTTGTAGAGGCTACATAAATTCTAATGTATACCACACACTTGCAGACAAGAGTTCCATTGTGAGCACTAAGCACATACTGTACTGTAGATTTGACTGGAAGACTACATTTGGCTCTTAATTTGCTAATCTTATTGAATGGTAAATTTCCGACTCATAAAATGGTACAGTCTTTTTACTGGAATCTTAATTGTAATCTGCTTTGCAATCAAACTGTGTTTAACATGACAATATTTTATTAATGAAAACCCAAAACTGTATTGCTATTTTTGATCAAGTATTACTTTCATTTCTAAGTTAAATGAAGTAGTTATGTTTCAGCACTTTTAAACTAGCCTTCGTTCAGGTATACATATGTATACATACATTTGCATTGGGTGCAGGTTACAATTTTGAAGCCATACAAGTTTATATAGACTTTTTGTAAAGAAATTCAAAAACCATGTAAAAAGTACATGTAGCTATCTGATTTTTAAAAAAAAAACATATGTAGCAAGCTGGTTCTTGCTTGTGTATACAGCAATATCCGTTGTAGCTGCCTCCTAAGAAAATTAATTTGTAAACACAACTCTAAAGGATCTGAATTTTTATGAATTGTTACTCCGTCAGACTGTAAATTAGAGCATACAAGTTTATCTTACAAAAATTGTAAATACTTCTGATTTTTCATAAAATGTAAATTTTAAAAAAATTTGCACCCATAATAAACATGTAATATATAATTTAAATACTGATTTATATTGCTTATACTTCTGCAGTTAGTCCCACAGAGCTTCTAAGCAATAAGATAATAGAACAAAACTATGCCTGTATTGAACATTCTAATCGTTAACTGATTTTTAAGTGATAAGGGGTAGAGATAATATACGAACTCTTTTATGTAGTTAAAAAACACCACAGAGAAGGTAGGTGGAAAGATGACTTCTGCAAAGAGTTGCATCTTTACTAAACTGGAATGCCTGAGATGTCTACAATGGCTTATGCCTTTACTAAATTGATAATAACTTAGATTAGGCAAAATTTGCAGATATGTTTATCAGAAAAATCTCGACTTTGTAGACATGAGCTGCTCTCTGTAAATAGTGCTATCAAACGCTGTACATTCCCTAACTTCCTTAGTAAGCCTGTATTTCGTTGAGTGCACAGGAGAAAAATCAGTGGCAAGATTAAAGTAATTCTTTCTGACTTCCTATGTTCCACCAGTCCAAAAAAGTAGATGACTTAAGTACTACTCCAGCAGTCTGAGAACAGTCCTTCCAAGCTGCGAGCACAGAAACAGAAGTTGAACCTGAACAAATGCATTTCAATCTGTTTCTTTCCTACTAATCCCACAGCCTGTGCGAGTTCAGTGAGTAATGACTTATTAAATTGACTTTCTCAGCTGGCTGGATATCATTGCAGTAAGTACCGTTCTTGTCATGCTGGAAACCAATAGTCCAAGGGCTTGATTGTTATCTTCTGCTGGAAGGCAGGAGTGAAGAATGCAAGTGCCCGACGGTCAGACCGAATGGTCCATCTAGCCCAGCAGTCTGTCTTCAACAATGGCCAAAGAGCAGACTGCGGCACGGAGAGCTCACAAGCCATTTCCTTTCTACTCCCCCAGCATCCTCAGTTACTGGTTAGGGATGCAAAAGGGTACAACGAATCTTCTAGTATTCATTGAACTTAAAGTGTCGGAGATCACTGCTCTGGCACTCCGTTAACATTTGACTTTTGTTATTGTAAGCCAATGCCCACGTACTACTCACAACTACTATAAACTGGATTTATACTGCTCAAGCAGGTTTGTAGTTATCTAAGGACATGATCAGGTAGTTTTTCAGGGATAACTGACTACCTCTACCGCTGCCAAATAATATTTATGTAGGGTATTTGAAGGAGCTAAGATATTTGATTATCAACTGGATCAGCGTGGGAGTTACAAGTGTGGTGGGTTTTGCTATCTAACTAGAAAGGAGGGTCTTGCATCATGCCAAAAAGGATTACATTTCAAGTCTTGTGTGTTTGAGAAGCTTAAGATAGGCATCTTAATATCTCTGTACCTTTTGTTTTCTTGGAATTGCTAGATAATTGGTTTCCATTTCAGTTGTCATGAAAGGGCAGTTTTACTTTAGAGCATGCAAGAAAAAACTCAGGAATTCCTCCAAGGATAGAGTAAGCTAAAAACAGTTCAAGGTACTAAAGCAGCAAATAAGATATTTACTGTGTGGTGCCCTTGATTGAACTGATTACCAGGCCTCTTACTTGAAAACCTAATGTTTATCTTCAGCTCTGCATATTATTACACTACTGAGTATTCCTTCTCAACGCAGTTTGACCTCCATGTTTACTGCTATGTTGATTTTTAATTTGTCCCTTAATTCATTCAATAACCAGTAGAAAGCATACAGTCTTTGAAGAATAAAATAATCTTAGAAACACAAGAAGCCTCTTCTGGATTACTTATTAAGCATTTAATACTCAAATTCTGCATTTTCTGTAGCTGCTTTCTCTTCCTTTGGAATCCATTCTTTCTGTTTTTAAATCTGGGATGGCTACATTAATTATTATAACCTAAAATAAGATTTTGTTTGCCATTGTCCCAGCTGTGTTTCTTTTAAAAAGCCTTGTTCTGTAACTTAGCTTTTTTTTTCATTATTAAAACTCAGCTGTTTATTTTTTAAATAGGTTAATAATCACAAGCCATAAATCATACCAACTTCACCATTCTGATTACAATTCAACTTTTCCTCTTAGCATCACCCAATCTGCCTTCTTGAAGTTCTCATTTTCTAAGTCATGTTTTCTGCTCCAGAAAGTTAGCAGTGGTAACGTGTTCAGCGATGACTCAATTCTTTCTTCATTGTGCTTAAATGAAGCAGCCCGTTTTTACAACAATTGCCGATTCTCCCCTCCAGATGTCCCCTCCTGCTTTGTAATTAGATAAACTCCTTATATAATATCCACAGCCTTCCCGTCCACTTCCCACTACTCTCATGGGTAGGTTGTATGAATAGTCATCACTAATACGGAAATATTACAGCTGTCCCAGTGTTAGTACCGATAAGACATTGCATCCAGGCAAGATGCACCAGTACAACTTGGGAAGGGAAAAAATGACAAACCACAACAACCAAGCTCAGAAAGTGCTATTTACCTTCCGCTTGCGTTGCACTCCATTCCTCTGGAGCCTTACAGGACTGTGGATTTTGACAGAGAACCAAAGTCCAAACAGACACAACTTTCAGCACCTGACCTCATTCTTGAACGCACGTTTCTCCTCCATGTGTCAGAATCCCTCAGCCTCTGTGTACGAGTCCCTTCTCACTTCTGAGCAGTTCATAGGTTGACAACGCACACTGAGTACTTGAGTATGTGAGCACAGGAGGACTGTCGCAGTCTGTGATCTGCCACCGCTGCAGCTGACATCTCTCCAAAGTCTCACCAGTCTGCTCCCAAGTACGGGCCAAATGCTGCTGCAGCTTTTCTCCTGCTGCCCCATGTTCTGAGTCACTTGCTAACAAACAGTAGGCTGGATGTCCGCTTCTAGTGAGAAGACAGAATAAATTCAGTTTTATTTAAGGTCTAAAATGCGGAAGATTGCTCGATTTAAGAATTGCACCTTGTACATCTAGGACAAGAAACTCGGCCTCAGACGAACACGCTGTTACTCTGGCATAACTTCTCTAGGTAATATAGAGCAAACACTACACTCACAGGAGACAGATAAGGAAATTACATGGAAAAACAAATGTGGGCTCCAGTGTTCCCTTTAGATTAAGGAGGAGAATATGTATTTGACACAACTTTCCCATAAAGGAGTTGAAAATAAAAAAAAAGAAAAAGTCAAGGTAATGGGCCATTACAGCTATTTTCTTGGCATTTTGCAAGATGTTTGAGGAGACCCTCAACCTCCTCAAGACTGAAGCTGTATCTTTAATACTGTGGGAGAGCATGCAGGATGTCTTCCCTCGCAAGAAGTGCTGCCGTGTCCATGTAGCTATGAGCTAGAACTTGTCATTACTGCACTCAGTGCAGACTGAGCATGAGGAGCACAGTTCACCTAAGCGCCTGCCTTTGCTTCCAGGCAACAGTAAGTTTCCTAGAGGGAGAAGTGGGGAACCTGTACCCCCATTTCCCTGAGCTAGGACCTTTCCAGACTGCTCAAGGTGGCAGCGCTTTTGCCAGCTGATCCCCAAGAGATGCCACAAAAACACACATCAGAATTCAGAGATTTTTGGCAAATAGCATCTTCTAGCCTTTCTTCCAAGGGATCATCCAGCTTAAAACAGTCCTACAATAACCTGGTTTTGGTCAAAAAGAGTAAAACCATAATTTGTGTTTCAGGAAGCAGTTTGTCCCCTGTGTAAGCAGCAGCAGTGCAGGCTCCTGCTTTTCATGCTACCAATGGTTAGGAAAAGGCAACAGTTGTCACAAGTTGAAAAGAAGCTTTCGAAAAATGTTGCCTCTTTCTTGAAGTGGTGACTGTTACCTCGACACCAGTTTTTAAGCAAAAATTGTGCTGAGTTTTACCCTTAAAGAGTCATTCCCAGCACAGGGGAACATAGACTCAGCTATACCTCCTATTCAGGTCACCAGTAAAGGTACGTGTGTGTTTGTACCAACACACAGCAGGAGCAGTAGTATCCAGAAGATACGTTCGCTATTTCAACTACTCACAACAGTCCACAAGCCATTATTTTAGCACCTGGAGCAAATCTTAAGACCTTGCTCCTGTGTCCAGCAGCACCAGTGGCCTGCTATGTCCTCTTCACGGAAGCTGAAAGTATTCACAGCGTACTGTGCCGTATACAGCACAGTTTGAACACAAGACAGATTTCTACATCAACCTTGTAAAAGTTAACTGGTAACATTTGGAATCTCCTGCTACTATATTCGAACCCCATGATCTCTTCTATTGTTTTATTCTGGAATTAAGAAAACAGTAGAATATTTTTAAGAACTCGGTTAGTGTTCATAGTGAACAACAATATTTTCCATCACCCATCTGCCCAGTCCAAAGATGGGTTATCCCACTGCATTAAAATTCTTGGTGAGTCTCTTCTGGACACTTTCCTTTAGTTAAAGGGTCTTCTATTCTCTTAGACTTTTAAAAACATTCTGTACTTGCCTCTGTATCTCCACCATGAACGTTTAGCAAAGCCTTCTTCACCTCTCTCCCAGCAAGGTAGGGTTTTTTTTATTGTTATTGCTGCCATTAGCTATACGTAAAGACACACAGGAATTGTATGTTTACAACAGATACACAACCAGATCTAACCAGACATTTGCAAATAATGATTCAAATGAATTTTTGACCACATCAGGTACGTCTTTCAGTGTTCTCCCCAGGCTTCACTGGCTCTACAGAGAATACTTTCAGCATCTTGTATGCACTCCACTGTCATCTCTGTAACCCAGCTATGGTAACTGTAGCAATTGAGTCAAGGCGAGGAAGACGTTAAAAATAATGTGAGAGTACTTCTGTAGTGAATAAACTGGTGCCATCCTTCCACAATAAAGCACACTGCACCGAGATTCAAGAGACCTCCTTGCTGTAGTCAAGATGTACTTTTAAATCAGAAACACACAGGGCTGCTGGTAAGGACCACATTGGAACTACTTGCAGTCCACTCACACCTTGACTTAGCGAGATACTGTTAGCATTCGAGTGATCTGCTGTCAGCCATATCTAATCTTGGAGACTCCCTTTGGCCTGTCAC